GTCTTTGCTCAATTGTTTTCAAATTAATCAGACAAAAAGCAAAAAAAATGAAAAAAATGCAAAATTTGGCAAATAAAATGTCTGCGACAAATTTTCGAATTTTGAAATTTTGAAACTGCTATTCTTTCAGATTTTAACAGTAGATTCCAAAAATGCAAACCCAAAGAAAATCGATCGAAAAATACGACTCTTAGAGCCGATTATCTATTCTTGCATATATTAAACTGTGGCACTTCCGGTTTTGCAAAAAAGATCCAAAATATATTTATGCACATCGTCGCCTATATCTAAGGTTCGTGAATGTTGAAAAAAAAAAAAAAAAAAAAAAAAAAAAAGAATTGACAATTCGATAACAAACTGGGACTTTGCTGAAATCCCACAAAAAAAAAAGAATTGACATTTCGATAACAAACTGGGAATTTGCTGAAAGCAAAGTCCCACAATAATTTGCTGTTCAAGGATGAACCCTATCAAAAATCAAACAAATAGAAAAATGTTTCATAGGAGTTATTGACCTCATCCTTGAAATAGCTTTCTAATTTTAGCTCTTAAACAATAAAAAGCATTTAACTGTAACTTATCTAATCTAAAATTGCAAAGAATACTACGTTAGTTATCATCTTTTATAAAAGTAAGAAACTTTATTGTTCCTGTTTCAGTCAAAAAAGGTTTATATAAAACTAATTGAAGCCCAGATCATATATAGTAAATTTCTCACTTGAGTTGCCCAGTTCTGTTTAAACCTGTCACAATCATACTTAAGCTCCCGATAAATATTAAATAATAAAGCTGATGCACAATTTAAAATAATTCAGCCAGTATTTACAAATTCTAATTTTTCTACAAATATATGATGGTAACATCCAGTTTCACCCATTAAGACGCATATGTTTGAACCAAATCTTACTTTTAATATTTTTCGCATGAACTCGTTTTGTACTTTTTCAACATCCTTTGACAAATTGAACCCCCAGACTTCACTTTCATACATTAGAACAGACTTAACTAAAGAATCATAGATTTTCAATTGACAGTCAATAGACATATTTAACTTATTAAAAATGAAATATAATGAATACAATGCTTTTCTATCCTGATCATGTAACCGTTTCTGTGTAGCAGTGTAGCATTAAAATGACCGTTGTAATTAAAGCCTGCCCCTGACGAGGGGAACTAGCTAAGCTGCCTGCTTCGAGGATTGGTTTTATTATTCAGTACCGACCGGAAGGTCCTTCTAGAGTTTTCACGAGCTAAAACTTGAACACGTTGGCAATAACTCATACTCAATATTATTCAGTATTGCCCCAAAGAGTTCAAAGGAAGTGTATGACTGAAGGTTGAATATTTCATACTGGTGATTTATACTGTACTGCCAAATATTTCTATTCAAAATCAAAGCTGCCAGTGGGCGTATATTACCTTGCCTGGCAAGCTATCTTAAAGACTGGCAGAGGCTCATTAAGGATAGTTGGGACCCTTTCTCGGGAACCTGACATAATTGTGGTAATTTTAAAAAAAATCTTGGTTGTTTTATTTAATTGTTGTCTTATCTATATGCACCACTACTGTTTTTATAAGCACATTGTTACTTTACACTGACCTAATACTAATGTTCTTATTATTGCCCCCTCTTAGTCTCTTAACTGAACTGACCTCACTGGACCTTGTCACCTTCTGTCATTGGTCAGCTTAGTGAGTTTTCAATGAGTTTCATCACCTATCCAGTCAGAAACTTTCCTTTTTTTTATCCTGGTCTTTGGAGTAGTGTTGTCGCATTTTGCATAGTTACGGTATAGGTATCTAATAAATGTAAAACAATATAAATATATACTAATAACTTAACCTACCCTGTAAAGGGGTTTTAAACTAATAAACCAATAGGAGGGAATGTACCTAACCAGAGGTGTAGGATCTGAAAATAAGATGTGTAATAGAGTTGGGAGTGCATTGTATGTAATTTAGTATGAATAGTTAATTGTAATAATGATAGGGAATATATATATATAATGTAATTTATAAGATATGAAAAACACTATAAGATATAAAACTTGCAAAATACAACATGGATGCCACCCTAGTAACCGGGATAATCAAAAGTACCAAAAGATAACTAAAATGTAACATACCTTGAACAAGATCAATCCAAATCCCAAGAATATATTGAAATAATATAAAACAAGGAAAATACACTAAACATACTATCCATTACAACATTGAAGAACATTCAATGTAAATTATATATATTTCACTACACCAATACCATAAGAAATCTGACTACTTCAACCTTTTTCACCATAGTTATTTTCTTCAGATAACTTCACGGGTATGCGTGTTTTGGGTATTTTATAGGGTAATTGTCTTTTGGGTAACTATCTTTTGTATGAGAGGTGAACAAATGTAACTATGGTATTTTAGTTTATTAACGGTAGCCATCTTGAATTTTTATACTTTACCTTTTATATCTAAAGTAAAGCTTAGTCTTTAGTAATTATTACATATTATATTATAATTATCTTTAATTATATTTATTCATTCACGGGTTTAAACATCAAATTAGTTAAAACAATTTACAACAGCTTTGGTTAAAACCCCACCTTTGGGTTAGTTTGACTTTTATTTAACATTATTCTTTGTGTCCATTAATAGCATATTGTATTGAAATTGTATTGTAGGGTATCAAATTACCTGCTTATATATATTATAGTTTAACTGTGCAACTGACACTTCTGTGGTATTTTGTTATTAAGATATATTGTTGTATAATATGTGTATTAGGCCACATAAAAAAGCAATTGATGATCGTCCCCGCCCGAAAACGGCCCCGTCCCTAATTTTTGTTTAAATGTATAGCAAAAATTCGACTTTTCGCGGACATTTAACGCGGAATAACTGTAATATAATAGGAAATACCACCGGTAGGTCCATCTAGCGACCATAGAAAGAACTACAACACCTATCCGCACATACCCTACCATCACAAGGGTCACTATCCTCAGTGTGACAACTGCTGGGGGAAAAAGGTTGTATCAAGACGTGGGGTGAAAAAGACAAAACCATGAGCTGGTTGTATAGGCCCACCACAAGGCAGGTTGTGCCTTTTCAAATGGAACAGCTTTCAAAAGATTGAATGCTGACAAACAATACATGATATCATGTCAAGTCCCATAAGAATAAGTACCGAAGGTAGCATCCTAATAAATTGAAGAAAGACACAGAAAAGGTTCAGACCCATTAAAACAAGGACAGAAGGTCTCCCAAGGTAGCATCCTAATATATTGAAGAAAGACACAGAAAAGGTTCAGACCCATAAAAATAAGGACAGAAGGTCTCCCAAGGTAGCATCCTAATATATTGAAGAAAGACACAGAAAAGGTTAAGACCCATAAAAATAAGGACAGAAGGTCTCCCAAGGTAGCATCTTAATATATTGAAGAAAGACACAGAAAAGGTTCAGACCAATAAAAATAAGGACAGAAGGTCTCCCAAGGTAGCATTCTAATATATTAAAGAAAAACATAGAAAAGGTTAAGACCCATAAAAATAAGGACAGAATGTCTCCCAAGGTAGCATCTTAATATATTGAAGAAAGATACAGAAAAGGTTCAGACCCATAAAAATAAGGACAGAAGGTCTCCCAAGGTAGCATCCTAATATATTGAAGAAAGACACAGAAAAGGTTCAGACCCATAAAAATAAGGACAGAATGTCTCCCAAGGTAACATCCTAATATATTGATGAAGGACACAGAAAAGGTTAAGACCCATAAAAATAAGGACAGAAGGTCTCCTAAGGTAGCATCCTAATATATTGAAGAAAGACACAGAAAAGGTTAAGACCCATAAAAATAAGGACAGAAGGTCTCCCAAGGTAGCATCTTAATATATTGAAGAAAGACACAGAAAAGGTTCAGACCCATAAAAATAAGGAAGGTCTCTCAAGGTAGTATTTGTGAGAATCTACTTAAAGGCACAAAAAACAAGACTCATAAAACTAAGTTACATATGGTATCATTCGCGCGTCCGTCCGTAAATATATAACTGTCTTAACACAGACAAAGATTTGCCACTTGCTGCCACTCAAAATATTCAATTCTATATGGATTAAATGAAACTTGACATGTTAAATTAATCCCACTGGAATAAAAAAAGGACAAATTAGCTGCCATTACAAATGTTTGGGCGTATTACAATTGCATCGCTATTTTTATCTGATTTTAATGAAATTTGATGTGATCATTTATAATGATGAAAGTTTTTATCTTATTTACAAATTAAGTATGGCAATATGACAGCCTCTTTGGGTTTAACTATCCCACAATTCCTCAATTCAAAGTTGGCTTACCTTGTTTTTATTTATGAAAATGAAAATGCTAATACTTAAATGAATAGAAAGTAGAGGTACCAGTTTGTCTCACATGTCCATAATTAATATATAATTAGCTAATTTAGGAGAGAATTACCAGCAAAATTCTAATGGGTGGCTGATCAAGAAAGGTTAAAAAGTATTTTTTTAGTTTTTCCAGACTGTACTTATTTCAGCTGTGGTATCCTGTTCAAGTTATGGTCATGTACCTGAAGAATATAATCCGTTCATCTACACATGGTTCTTGCATGGAAATAACACACAGTAGTTCACAGCCGTTATAAATCACTTCCTCGACTTAATGAGTCAAATTTCTAACAAGTCTGAAGTATTTCAACTGAGCTTTTAGTAACATTTATAGCCATTTCTAAGCCTTTGAACATGATTTATAGGCTCTGTTAATTACTTATGCCTTTTTAAACATCTGTCAAGGTAGTGATTTTAAATGGCAGTGAACATGTGTGTGTTATTTCCATGTAGGAGCTTCTAGTTGTAGTTTTGTATAGTGCTTACTGCATGTGTAAATAATACTTAATTTTTGTATTTTTGTATTGATGATTGATCCCATTTCACTTTGAAATAATAGACCTAATTTTGACCCATGTGAATAAAGAGATTATTGCTTTTATTACTTTTTATTAAGAAGCAGACTCCACATCCAGGAAACCTGTAAATTCTGGTGAAGGATATCTCTGTCTTACATGTGTGACAACACATGCAGGTAGCGGTACTCTGATGTTTTTACCAAGGAAGTCCCATATCCAGCGCACAAACTGACGATAGGCTGTATATCTGCGGCGTCTGAAATATAATCATAATAAAAATGCATCAAAATGTTATACTTAAATGATGCATTTTGTTGATGCCTAATTTGTATAAAAACGTGATTATGTATTAGGCAATGAAATACCAGGTCATGAAACAAGCAAGCAACTGTCACATTTGACATTTTTATAAAACTGTTATTTGTTGAAAAGATCAGAGGGTAAATACTAATTTGTTCACTTACTCATTTTGGAATTTGTCCATCGGCCCATAATGTTGCTTGTAGTGGCTGTAGGCTACATCAAGTACATCTGGGTCCAGACAGACTGTTTGGAAAGCTGGGTGCTGTGTTATACAATCCCCAGCTTGACCCTCATTCTTCTCTCTCACCCTCTCAAGCTCAATGCAGCAAACACACTCTTCCGGTTTTTCCATATTGATATAAGAGCATGTGCCACATTGACACCTGGAATTATAAGAAGGTATTTTAAATATATTATAATAATTATATATATGATGGGTGTGCTTACTCTTGTAGACACCTGATACCACTTTTCATTATGAAATACTTGCTTACATTGATATACTTCCTCATATGAAAGTTCACTACCTGCCAAAATGTTGTATTGGATTTCTAGTTTCGTTTTGCAGTTCGGATGGTTAGCACTTGATTTTTTTATTGCAAATGATAAGGGGTTGTAAATGGGCTAAACTAACTTTAAATGATAAAGAACAACATTCCAGTCAACTGTCTTTTGTTTTGTTTCTTTTTTTGTTACAATTGCCTAGGCCAGGACTAGGCCTATGTCAAACTCGAATGAATGTCAAAAACCACTAACTTAGCAAATGACTGGAATTAACTGATGTTTTCTGGATTTCTACACCCAGAAATGACGCATTATTTTACATAAGAGAAAAAAAACATACTGAAACAGGGTAGGAAGCCACAGGGAATCCCTTTTCTATAAGACAAATGGCGTCACGCATCTAGCCTATTTATAGTAACGCTTGATGTGACTTTCAATTTCCGTCAAGCATATTAAAATAAAGGAAAATCTGACTTTTAAACGACTTTCTATAAAACAATGTGTTCAACTTACCATTCAATATTGGTCAGCCTACTAAAATCGGCAGGAATGCCCCCTGTAGCAGCTGGTTCACCATCTTCACTCCCGCTACCCTCATCGTCACCATCGGCATCGGCGTCGGAGGCATAGGGTTCGTACCTATACGGCAAATTGCCGTGACCTTCTGCAAAATTATCTGGAGATCTCCCTCTTTCACTATCGGATTCCTCAAGATCATAGGAGCTCTCAGGACACGATAAAATTACATTTTTTTTCGAAATCAGTCGAGTTGCTGCTATCGCTTTCACGGTGCGCCATGTTTGCTCTTTACCTCTGTTACGTCACACAAAAATGGCGACTATAGACGACTGTCTGATTAACGACCGGTGCAGGGGGTGGCATAAAAAGTGTTTTTCTGAGGCATTGAGCTGTATTTATTGCTGTATAACTTTGGAAAATTGTATTAAATAGTTATAGATATTTAAAAAAATGTCTTATAAGCGATATTGAGATCCATGTCAGCTTCTCTTTAAGAGACCTAAACTATTAATAGCTTCAATATAAAAGGAGAACACAAATATTTGCTTGACACTTCTTCTAGAACTGTCTGTTTTGAAATTTTGAGCCTACGATTCAGGGAAAAACAGGTTTTACATTCATAAGGACATTTTCGGGGCCCTGTTAATAATACATGTATGCACCTAGGGAGGGAAATGATAGTTTTAGGGTCCTATAAAAATAAATAAATAATAAACAATAAAATAAAACAGGCACAAATCAGGTTTGTTTGTTGTTTGAACCTGCCTTGTTCAAATAGCGAATTATGTAAATTATGCTCTATATTGCGACTGCGTGTACTACTTTTCCATTACTTTTTTGTCGCTACTTGAATAAATGTTAGGCCCATGTACCAATTGTATAACTTGATGAATGAGTGAGCGAAAAACATTTAACCATCATGACAGTACTTGTTCTTTATTTATTGGGTGGGTTAGTTTCCCACACCTGTTAATCGATTTAATTTGAGCACAGAAGTCAGCAGAGTTTTTGATATAGCACTTTTGCTCAATGGAGATAAAAGCTTAGCAAGGTATTTGGCAGTGTTATAGTATACCGTTCCCTTGGGGCACACAAGTAATTTACAGGATATTTGTGTATCTTGACTTAGAATAAGGTGCTGTAGGGTGGGAGACGTTCAGTTTTTCGTACAGTTGTTTGTTTATTTCTTGGTTTTCTCGGAGGGATTTCAGGGTGGCTTTAAGTTGTCTGTCTAGTTTAGGTGTAGGGTCTTTCTTTAGTCGTTTGGTCTGATAGGGTCTGTTAGATGATTATAATTGTTGCTTTATCTTTGTCAGCTGCTACTATGGAGATGTCAGGATTACTTCAGTTCCTTGATGGCTTGGGTTTCAGTCTTGGTTAGGTTCGGTTTTATGCGATTAGGTTTGTACAATATTTTCATAATTTGGTGATGTACATAGTTGATATTACCATTAGGGCAAAGTTGCTCCATACCTCTTTCAATATTCCTGAGGAATGTTTCAGTGGGCGCTCGTGTGTTGGTTGGTACGAACTTTAACTCTTTGGATAGCAAGCTTATTTGGTCGTCTGTTAATGTATGAGAGGAGAGGTTCACGACTGTTCTTTTCAAATACAAATTGTTGAACTTGTTGAGATGGGTAGTTTTTCGTTTTTCCGGTTATCTTGGTGGATGCTTTCTTCGTTAATGAGAATAACTAGTTAAAGTCTGTCGGTTTTAACAGTTTTTGAATCTGCTCAGTAAAGATTAACACTTGTTTCAGAAGGGCATACTTGGTTTTATGGGGATGTGATAATAGTTCTTTGACGAGTCGGTGGCTTGCTGTCAGAAGTATCTTAGAAGCAGAAGCTGACTTTACAGGCGCACGTAACCCGAGTCCTATATGTATGAGTTTATTGTCACGGCATCTTAACAGAAATATAACACTAGATGAAGATTTAGATAATTTATGCTGCACTGACTTAAGTTGGTTAATCACGCGTAAACGTCTCATCTCCATAATGGTGTTTAATATAATTTTATAAAAGACATATAGAAGCAGGGAGGTAAACATTAAGAGCACAAGTGGATATACTACTTCTAGTTTTATTACATACTACGTTTCGAAACACATTGTATTGTATTGCTTTATTACCATATACACAGAACATAGGTTTTGACAATTAATAATAATAATACAAATAATTACAAGATCTAGATGATGACTTAATTTGTTCATGAAGAGATTGATAATACACGTCATTAATTCTCTGATGTATTTCACTTAAAAACCTATTTTCGCCAGTAACATGCTGTTGCGCCCATACATAGGAAAATCCGAGCTTTATAAAATCTATCCATGGACTATAGCTCCTAGAAATGAGTCCATTCAGCATATCAGCATAACATGCTCTTAGAACTAAATTCGACGTATTGATATTTTCTTGTTACAAATAAAGGTATTCTTCCTAGTTCAGAATAAATAGTACAATTATTTGTTGACGCAATCTAGTCTTGTGTTCGGTTGAGGTTTGTTTTTGCGCAATTGTTTGTAGGAATATTTCGGATTATTTCGTTTTTAATTTTATTTACCACGCAGGGGTAAATTCAAAAACGGTCTCTTACTGGAGGTGGTCTCTTATGAGAGAATTGAGTCTGCTGAAACAATTTCAAGATTTTCAAATATTAAAAAGCGCAATAGTGATTGAAATATTTAGTGTTATATATCGGTATAGAGGGCAGATGAACGCTAGTAAGATTCAATAAGAATTTTTGGTGTATGTAAATTAGGTCACGTGTCAGAGCTCTTTGAAGATACAAAATCGTAATTTTCAATCGACTATAAAACCGGAAGTAAACATTCCACAGCACAAATGAATATATCGCTGGATAGACATCACCAAGGGCAATAAATTTTGTTCAAGACACAACGTCACCAAAAGTCAAGGTCACGAAATAGAATCCTTTGAAATTTTGGACATTACCGAAAAATTTTAACCGGAAATAAAAGAAAAGCAAAATCAAAATTCAAAAATCGGCTTTTTTTGCAATCGATTGTGATATCCAAAATTATGAAATGCGCTATATACCCTCTGTTGCAAAAAGAATTTTTGAAATATCTTCAAATTTCCAGAAGTTGAATTTTATATTTTAGAAGCGAATAGCGTCAAAACCAGAAGTGATATCGAAATTTCGAAAATTAGTTTTAGTTCGCAATAAAAGTGTCTATCCCTATGTTAGTTTTCAGATTGATCGAAATATAATTGTAGAAGTTAAAAAGGTTGAAAAGATTAAAAAACTTTTGGAGCTCCAAAAGTCAGCGACAAAAGTCAAAATTGTTGATTTTTTCAATTGTCTATCTTGTAGTTATTAGCGTGAAGTAATAAACAGTAAAGTTTGAGCAAATTAAAGCTGATAAATGGAAAAATAGAAAAAAAGCCATTTTCCACCGCCCATATCTGGATGGTCAAAATCGTGCTAATTTACATTTAACAAATAATTGTCCACTATTTTGACTAGAAAATAGCAACAGACAGTCTGTGGCATGTTTCCTTCCAAGAAAACCAGCGAAGGTAAAATTCGAAAAACAAACTAGAGCCGATGGGTTACAACTCTGATGCAGTGCGTTGCATACTGGAAATTTAGAGTAGGGCTGATGTAGCTTAATTACGACACGAGCTTCTTCATTGCATTCTATTCTGTTAGTTTGACCATGTATTACAACGTTATATACCCCTTATGTTTCTTTTAAAACTTTTCACTGGTCAACGATACAATTCTAACACATTCTTTAATGATTTTTTCTAAAAATGAAAAAGTTCATTTTTAGAATTGATTTTTTTGTGTGGATTTGGTCAGTTTCCTCCATATTTAGAATTTTTGAAATATAGGAATCCATGTTCCAAACATTTAAGAATGTTCCTGGAACTCGGCTTGTGTTATTGTCTTATTCGCAATATTCACATGGCTATAAAAACGGATGTAAACATTGTACAACAAAATCAAAGGCACCATGTGATAGATTTCGTCAAGGGCTATGGCTTTACGTCAGACCACTAGTCACCAAAGGTTACGGTTACGAGATATGAGCCTTAAAAAATAACTGTTTTTGGAAGCCTATAAAACCGGAAGTAGGCGTCGGACATCAAAATATTATAGGTGACAATTACATACTCTGTGAGTAAATAAATTACAAATATATAAGGTAAATGTGAATCTATCCCGGATGTACCACGCCCATCCAAAATTTTTTGTCACATCTGTTATAAGGTTTACAATGCTAAGCTATGTTAAAAATTTCAAGCGTCTAAAATTATTCGATCATGAGATATTCATACTTTCATGTTAAAAGCTTGAGATTTACGGCAAATGTCAAATTACGCACAGTTACTATGGAAGTCCGTACAAATTTTTCAAATTTTAAAAAGCGCAATTTTGATAAAAATATCTAGTGTTATATACAATTGGAAAGAAGAGATAACCGGTAATAAAGATATATGAGAAATTTTATCATATATAAATAAGGTCACGTGACATAATCCTTTAAAATTAAAAATCGCTATTTTCAAATGGCTATAAAACCGAAAGTGTACATTGCACAACTGAAGACATCATCGGATAGATCTCTTCAGGGGTAACAACTTTTGTCATAAGGTCACCAAAGGTCAAGGTCACGAATTATGGGCCTTAAACATTTTGCATTCACTGGATAAATATGACCGGAAATATAAGAAAAGCAAAATAAAAATTCAAAAATTGGCTTCCTGTGTTTGCAATCGATTGAAGATAACATAGACATCAACATAACACACATCCGATTAGCCCCTAAGGCTCAATTTCTGTTTTACAAAAGTTAGTCATATCAATATGGCGGTTGACCTATTACTTCCGGGTCGGATTTTTGAAATAATACATCTTTGCATGGGCAATTCTAGCTTATTGCAAAAAGAATTTTTCAAATATTTCAAGAATTCCGGAAGTTGAAATTTTCAGTTTAAAAGCGAATAACGTCAAAACCGGAAGTGATATCGAAAATATGAAAATTGATTATACTTCGCAATCAAAATGTCTATCTACCTGTAAATTTTCAGATCGATCAAAATTTAATTGTAAAAGTTAAAAAAAAATTGACTTTTGAAAATCAAAAAGTCAGCGACAAAAGTCAAAATTCTAAAATTCTTGAATTGCTAACTTGTCCAACTCAGTTCAAAATCAAAATCAGATCGAAATTAGAGCCGTTAATTAGAAAAAAAAGTAAAAAACGTTTTCGTCCTACGTCATTTCCGGTTAAAAAATGTGCGCCAAATTATATTCATATTACAGTGCAACTTGTATTAAGCAGCCAGTCAAGGGAATGCTCAGAAGTGGCTGCTTACTAAGGGGTGGTGCTTAATAGAGGTATGGTTTACCCAGCTAAGAATGACAAGTTGATATTTTGAGATAACATTCAATAATAACAACAACAATACATGTATAACAATACAAATGGAATTAGATGCTTTGAATGAATCCACCTTTAAATCGGACGCAAAATGTAACGCTTTAGTTTTGCAATGAATTCAAATACACAAGATGTGCAGTATAATTTTTGTGTAATATTTATATCAATACTTAGCTGGTATTTAGTTTCACCAGTTTACAATGAAATCATAAAAGTGAGTATGTGGCATGCGTACTTTAGACTGGGCAATGGCAGCAGAATTAACAAAAAAACATTCGAAGAACGCACTGCAACTAGAACTGTTTCCTTAACAGTACTGATGCAGAGCGTGTTCCGACATAAAGGTACATACGAAGCTTGACAGAAATTTGGATAAGAACTAAAACATTTGGTAACACACACACGCACAACAAAAATTTAAAATCTCCATTAAATTTAGTATTTGATTATACACATTTATACCAAGTTTGATGAAATTCGGAAAAGAAATAAGAAAGTTCGTAATGCGCATGCGCACAACAAATATTCAATATTTCCATCAAATTTAGAATTTGATTATACACATACATACCAAGTTTGATGAAATTAGGATAAGAATAAAGAAAGTTGGCAATGCGCATGCGCACGCGCACAACAACAATTCAATATTTCCATCAAATTTAGAATTTGATTATACACATACATACCAAACTTGATGAAATTTGGATAAGAAATAAGAAAGTTGGGAATGCGCATGCTCACTGCACAAATTCTATTATATATTACTTTCCTGCAAATCACAAATTTAATGGTACATACCAAGTTTGAACAAATTCGGATAAGAAATAAGAAAGTGGATCAATTAAGCCGCGGGCGTGGTTCCAGGGTGCTTCAGTAAGCTCAACTTACATCATGACACCTTTTAATCCACCCCACTCCTTATATGCACAGACTTGACATAGTGCATATCTGAAAAAAATTGGGGAGAATGTAACTTTAACCGACAAGTCAAACTCAGTAATTGTATCTATACTGACGTGAAGGGCATGGTCTTATCACCGAATATAATGGAGTTTCGAAATATTCATGTTACATAGACATATTGAATGCATATCAATGGAAATCTGGGAATCTCTGCATTACAAATACGACATAACATAACCCGTAAAATATCCAGTTTGAACAAAAGACCATTGCCAACGTATAGACCTACTCAACCTTATACCACAACCAGTATGAATAGCAATTTATTTCATTCCCTATATTAAATCGATAGGGATCATCTTCATAATGACATTGAACGGAGTTTCGAAATATTCATGTTACATAGACATATTAAATGCATATCAATGGAAAGCTGAGAATCTCTGCATTACAAATGCGACAGAATTATTGCTATATCTCTATAAGGGACTCAGATACACCACTGCAATAGTTCGAAATGGACGATATCTAGACCCCTGTAAAATCGGATAGAGTTGTTTGACCCCAAAGGTCAAAAAGTCATTGGATAGACAAGGTCAATTATCATCACAAGAAATATGAAGGTCATCAAAGGCCAAGGTCATGAGATATGCACCTTCAAACTTTGAACAAAAAAC